GAGAGCGATCCGCTGTGCATGATCACGGAGTACATGGAGAACGGGGACCTCAATCAGTTCCTGTCCCGTCATGAGCTGCAGGATGAAGGAGTTCAGGACGGTGACTCGGCTACCATCAGGTATATCAGACTGGAAAAAATGAATAAAATGATTCTTTGGACCAAGTTAAAAAAAATACTCTAATTTGATACAGCCAAATTATTATTTGTAGTAGGCCTAGTATTATTTCAAACCATATCTATGGTTTTATTTAAACTTTACATTTTTATTTAATATAACAAAACATTTCTTTTTGCAAAGACTAAAATATTCATACAAAGTAAAAAAGATGTTTTAAAGACTAAATCAATATATTTTCTGTATAGACTAAACATTTTACTTGTTTTTTCTTATTTTCACCACACACAAAAGCTAAATTACCTATTATACGAAAGTAGAATTTTCACTTAAGATAAAACAAAACACATTTTGCTAGTCAATGTTTAATTTAGTTTACTTAGTATAAATAAAGACTGGAATATGTTTATATGAAATAATGTTTGCTTAGTGGCATGGTTAAATTTGGATCATTGAAGGTCAGCAGACTTTGGTTAATAAAGTGAGATTAAATACATAAAGTATATATGTATTTATCATATTTAATTAATGCGGATTTGTGCAGTATTCTGTTTGCATTTGACTATTTTCATTCATTTTGAGGAATACTGAATCTGTTTTTGAACTATCCCTTTAACAACATAACATGCCTACACTGTGTTCAGATAGTTGTGTTCCAGCAATGTATGTTCATGCATATTCACATTAGTCTAGAACTGCAATAACCATCATGTTTACACATCTGCACAGACGAGGTGTCAGTCAATAAATGGGAGAACAAAGTAGCTAACTTGCGTTACTTATTTGAAAAAGTAACTCAGATATTTTATTATAAATTTAAAAGGAATAATTAATAGTGAAACAAATAGTAAAAAAGTAATATGATTACATAACTTGTATTACTTGTAATTTGCTACCCCCAAACTGTTCATTTTCATTTGGGGTGTAACGATACCATCGTCACGATTCGATATATATATATCACGATACTGAACTCACGATCCGATATTATTGCGATACTGCAAGACATATGATAAAAGGTTAACAAGATGTACTGTTGATTAAAATGCTAAATTTGATATTACATTGTGGCTGGAAATGACTTGGTGCTGGAAACCCAATACACACAATAGTGACACCTGTTTCTGAAGCTGAAAATACAGAATTATTTTAGATAAACATGCTTGCACTCTGTCACTGATTAGATATATTTAAAATAATGTAGGCCACTTTTTACTGGTAACATAAAAGATTTAGCATTATCAGGACCCACAAATATCCCCCCATTGCATTATTATACTTTATATTCAACATTATAAAGTAGTTTAATGTAGTACTGACACTAAAACTCTGTAAACTTGATTTTTTTTTCATGCACAGTATTTCTTTATTTTGGGTATACACAATAGAGATTGTCACTATCCATGAATCATGATACACATTGTTGCATTTTTGTAAACAACGCGGTTGTTTCTCTTTCAGTGCAAACACTACACTCAAGAGTTGTTGATTTGAATTCTGCACTATTCCATGTCTTGTGAAGCCATATACACTCACCGGCCACTTTATTAGGTACCCCATGCTAGTAACGGGTTGGACCCCCTTTTGCCTTCAGAACTGCCTCAATTCTTCGTGGCATAGATTCAACAAGGTGCTGGAAGCATTCCTCAGGGAGTTTGGTCCATATTGACATGATGGCATCACACAGTTGCCGCAGATTTGTCGGCTGCACATCCATGATGCGAATCTCCCGTTCCACCACATCCCAAAGATGCTCTATTGGGTTGAGATCTGGTGACTGTGGAGGCCATTTTAGTACAGTGAACTCATTGTCATGTTCAAGAAACCAATTTGAAATGATTAGAGCTTTGTGACATGGTGGAAGTAGCCATCAGAGGATGGGTACATGGTGGCCATAAAGGGATGGACATGGTCAGAAACAATGCTCAGGTAGGCCGTGGCATTTAAACGATGCCCAATTGGCACTAAGGGGCCTAAAGTGTGCCAGGAAAACATCCCCCACACCATTACACCACCACCACCAGCCTGCACAGTGGTAACAAGGCATGATGGTTCCATGTTCTCATTCTGTTTACGCCAAATTCTGACTCTAACATCTGAATGTCTCAACAGAAATCGAGACTCATCAGACCAGGCAACATTTTTCCAGTCTTCAACTGTTCAATTTTGGTGAGCTCTTGCAAATTGTAGCCTCTTTTTCCTATTTGTAGTGGAGATGAGTGGTACCCGGTGGAGTCTTCTGCTGTTGTAGCCCATCCGCCCCAAGGTTGTGCGTGTTGTGGCTTCACAAATGCTTTGCTGCATACCTCGGTTGTAACGAGTGGTTATTTCAGTCACTGTTGCCCTTCTATCAGCTCGAACCAGTCTGGCCATTCTCCTCTGACCTCTGGCATCAACAAGGCATTTCCTCCCACAGAACTGCCGCTCACTGGATGTTTTTTCTTTTTCGGACCATTCTCTGTAAACCCTAGAGATGGTTGCGCGTGAAAATCCCAGTAGATTAGCAGTTTCTGAAATACTCAGACCAGCCCTTCTGGCACCAACAATCATGCCACGTTCAAAGTCACTCAAATCACCTTTCTTCCCCATACTGATGCTCGGTTTGAACTGCAGGAGATTGTCTTGACCATGTCTACATGCCTAAATGCACTGAGTTGCCGCCATGTGATTGGCTGCTTAGAAATTAGGTGTTAACGAGCAGTTGGACAGGTGTACCTAATAAAGTGGCCGGTGAGTGTAAATAGTATGTTTCTTGAGATGGAAATTTAGCATAAAATACAGTAAATGTCTTCTTTTTCTCTCTAGCTACAGAAAACTGATCAACATGGCCTCTCAGATTTCCTCTGGAATGAAGTATCTGTCATCTCTGAATTTTGTTCACCGTGATCTCGCTACACGCAACTGTTTAGTGGGCACAAATAACACCATCAAGATCGCTGACTTCGGCATGAGCCGAAACCTGTATCGTGGAGATTACTACCGCATACAGGGACGTGCTGTGCTCCCCATCCGCTGGATGTCCTGGGAGAGCATCCTTCTGGTAAAGACTGATGGAGTCAAATATGCGGCGGCTTAAACTCACATCTGTTTGACCATGTGTGTTTCTACAGGGTAAGTTCACCATGGCCAGTGACGTGTGGGCATTCGGGGTGACCCTGTGGGAGATTCTAACCCTGTGCAAGGAGCAGCCGTATGCCCAATTTACAGATGAACAGGTGATCGAAAACAAGGGCGAGTTTTTTAGAGACCAAAACAAACAGGTGAGACTTGCAATGTGTGTAATCATAATAATGGCAAGCCAAGTCTTTCAGTATCTGTGTAAATAATTTTCATGTACAGCAAGGCTGTTTTAACCTTTACAGATCTATAAATCGCCCATCAGAGACCTACAGAATAGAAATGAACTAATTTGACAACAATATTCCCTTGTGTAATGCATAACAAATCTGTAATTTCCCACATTTATAAATATATATTCCACAATTTATTTTAATTAATCTAATATTTTAATGTTATTTTGTTGACAAATATTTTTATTTCTGCATTTTAATTCATCTTAATCTAATTATTTTTAATTTATTATTGTATTTTATTATTCATTTTATATTTAAAATGATATAAAATTGACCCCATTTGGACCGAATGCAATGATTGGACGAACATTTTATGGGTCTACGCCTTACACAGTCGAAATATACCCCCCTCCCCCTCCAATACCTAAAAATAGCTGGCACTGCAAGATGAGTCAGGGAAAATCCATGTAATAACTTGGAAAAAACAAAAGGTGTCAGTGCTGAGCTGTTTTTTTAACCCCTCAGGTCTATCTGCCAATGCCGTCCTGCTGTCCTGATTCAGTGTACAGCCTCATGCTCAACTGCTGGAAGAGAAATGCCAGAGAAAGACCCACGTTCCTGGAGATCCACAGCACACTGATGGAACAATATGACTAATTCCATGCGGATGTACAGAGCAGCTTTTCCACGCACATTCAACCCTCTTAGATTGTTTTAGCTCTTAAGAGAAATTCGGAGATGTGAGAAAAGCCCAGCTTATTGTAATAGCAATATCCTTCTAATTTCAGTATTTATAAGAAAATCATACATAGACCTGCATACATATTACATATTATATGGGAATAATGTTTTGTAATTATTTTAAAATGTAAAAAAAAAAATTTCAGTGCTTTCTGTGAATTTTGCTGTTGTTGTCATTTTTTATTAAATATACATATTTGCTGACTTATTGGGAAGGAATGATTCTTCATTTGGGGGGGAAATATTATTTCCTTATAAAATATTTCTACTTTCTTTCTGTTGATATTGTTGTGCTCAAAGTGGGGGGATCTGGGAAATATCAGGGGATCTGGGAAATATCATATGTTGTAAAAAAAAAAAAAATGTTGGAAATGTTTATATAACTATGTGAATAACCAGTAACATCTCGGGATATAATAAATTACTGATCAGCCTTTTTTCCAGATCTGATCCTTTTATGAATATTTAACTGTTCCTCGGATTTTAGTGATTTTCAACATAAAATAAATGAATGAATTAACGAATTAATACTTGATACATAAAAAATCAATTTAACGGAAAAAAAACTGATCTTGTAGAGTAATAGGTGAGTGGACAGCACATCAATAAACAAGGCAGTGCTGCTTTGTAGATTGAGCCTTGGACTCGGTTGAGAAACATCACTCAGCTCAGCCTAGATACGCTGCAACGAACTATCAATGATAAACAAGCAGTTTCACGTGACGCCAATCCAGATGCACATTTCATCCGATGAGAAACGTTTTACTTTTCGTTAAGAATAACCTGCCCTTGAATTCGCACTTCTATAATTCACAGTAATTATTTTAAGAGGCATGAGTAGTCATACCGCGAACTGGAAAACATCCTCTGTGTGGTGACGTGCCGTGACGTCATTCTCCGACAATGATGGCTGCCGCTGGAGCTTCAGCCTCAGATATCAGGCAGAAAAGACCCCTGTCTGGAGCTCCTGCAGCCCTATAAACCACTGCTATCAGCGTCCCGCAGTACTTGAAAAATCACCTGAAGGGATAATGAGGAACACTTGGGGCGGCTGTTTGAAAATATCGCAATATTTCCCCTGAATATGTGTTTCGCGGAGCAGCGAAAAACAGCCGTTAATCTGAGGGTGATTTTCTGCTCGCGATGATTCACTGGTAATTTTCCAGCAGCTCGAGACTCTCCTCAGACAAAAACACCAAGACAATTCATAAAAATGAAATTTACCGAGCATCTATCTGCCCACATCACCCCGGAGTGGAGGAAACAATACATTCAATATGAGGTAAGAGATGAAGAAAAGCAACTTTGAGCTATTTTACATCAAACAGTTTCCATTCAGCTCATTGAACATGTCAAAAACAAGTCACCTGCCATTATAATGTAATATTTAAACGAAAGACAGGCTTACATCTGGATTTGTGTGATTTAATAACTGTAATATTTGTTCAGGGTTAGTCTGTAACCGAAAGCTAACAGCTGATAGCATTTAAAGCTAACGTGGGTCTTTATGAGCGGCAGGGATGCAGGTGAATGAGTCCAGAGATGTTTCGCACTTCTCGTGTTCAGCTTGATTAATATAGTTATTATAGAAAAAAATCTGAACCAAAAGAAGGACAAAACGATAGTTTCAAGTTCATCAAACAAATATCGTTACACGCCAATCCACTCAATTCCAGGATGTAACGTTACTGTTGTTAAACACAAATCTCTGTAAACACTCAGCTTGGACATAAAATTATGTTTTTGCTTCAGATCTGGAAATATAACGAATGTATTCTTAATATTACGATTTATAATACATTAGGAGTATTGGGTAAACTTAATATTTGAGAATGGATAGAGTGAACAAGTAAATCAAGCTCATATCAATGGCCAAATTGTTACTGAAAACCTACATTTTTCATCTCTATTTAATACATAAAACATTTAGGAATGGCTGTGTGCATATGTGTTAATTTTAATTTTTTCGACATTGCCTTGCAGTTTTTTTCTCCCCATCTTGAATTTCAGGTCTGTCTTTACCTACAGGAGACATTCTCTCAAAACAAACATATATGATGGTGATACAGAGCTTCAAAGAGCAATGCTTAGCAGACTACATAATTTCATTATTTCACATGAGAGCATACGAGGCAGTTTTCTTTGTCTCCGACAGTGGACTGGGTTAGAGTTGACAGGGCTTTAGTGTACTGCAGCTCCTTCAGGGTTTAATGGCCTACACATAATGAGATTATTGCCTTCCTCTTGAACATTCGCTAATTAATTAGTCATCATCCCTTTTTGAGAGTGGTACACTACACGGCGGATTGTGTTTGCGAGGGAGTGTTTGAGATTGTACATGCTTGAATCAAATATAAATGATGGCGGAAAATCAACTGGTGAAGGATTTGCTTTCTACGCCACACTTAGACTTTATCATGCTCTCTCACCCGCCTTCGTTTTGATCTTGAGGACAATTCGTTTTTCTCCTCTCATGTTTTGCCCACTGTGGCTGGACGCTATGAATGTGTTGTTTTGTTATGTTCTGTGACCCTTTTTTGTGTCACACAGTCTTGACAAAGCTGATGTCAGCTTATTTAGAGATATGAGCATTTTATGCTGAAATTCGTGTTTTGTGTGGGCTATCACATGATTCCTGACGCTCGAAAAGAGAAGTGAGAGGAAAGTTGTGACCCTAATGACACATTACAGGGCTCCAGACTAACTGTTTTCACTAGGAGCGCTGTAGCCCCGAACTGAATTTTTTTAGGAGCACAGGCAGAAAATTTAGGGGCACACCTTAAATCAACCTGCAATGCAGTTATTCGCATTTACCCCCATTTGGACTGTATTACTGACAAATGCCTTGGTAATAAATAGACATGAACGTACATAAATTACTATGTGCAGCAGTGTTATTTTAAGTTCACAGGGCTCCAGTCCAGACTAACATTTGAGGGCAGCCGTATCGGAGCCACTGGATTCTACAGAAAGTATTTGGTAGCACTGGGGGGCTGACAATAAAGCACTAAGCTTAATTTGAGGTGTATATAAAATTAACTTTAATTATTAGCATTCATAATGTCTTAATATTAATTCAAAAGCAAAATGAGTGAAAAAATAGCTAATAGGCTCTCCTCTGCAGCAATTTAATCTTTTTTTTTAATGCAAGATTTCCTACATCTTGAAACTTTTAGTTTTATAAATGGGAACACTCTTTGAAGGATGAACAAAAAATGTTTTGGTCATCACATCAAAAATAACATTTAAATATGATATTATAGTTTTGAAGTGCTGGAAAAGGATGTGTTGTACTCGTAAGTGTTTGACTATTTCTGTCACAATACCATAGTTACAGTTAGTGTTACTACATTAAATCAATGGTGAATGTTGCTGATTTGTGGACTTAACGCCTTCTAAAATGTGTTCATTCATGGCACAATGTTTCTCCTGGTTTCCACGTCAGCGCTGTTTGATCTGATATCAATGGTTTATAACAGACAATTCTGCGCCAAATCTGAATGTTTCTCACTGGATCTCGCAGCAATGTTATTAATTCTGTGGCGAATTCAATGGATTTCTTCACTGGATCTCCAAGCGCGGTGTAGTAACGGTGTCGCGTGATCCAGATCGACCCGCAACTGGCGAGTAGCTCGCGGCACTGTCTATTATTGATCCGAAGTAATAAACGGTCCGTGAAGCACAAACGAGTAGCGCAGTTTCATTCCGCTTTCATTTCGTTTGCCATTTGATGCTGGGCAACGTTGTGGTCAAATTTTGGTCGCACCGGCAGGAACAATGGCCGCAGTCTGGAGCCCTGAACATTCCATACTTTTTCCGGTTAATGAAGACCATCATCCGAGTATCTAAAGTGCACTTTTTTGGGAGGGAATTTTCAGTGTGAAAACACCACTATTTATACTACAATGCAACATAGTGCACAAGCACGCAAATTGCTCTTTCAAAAAGCCTGCTGAAGTCAAAACTATAGGCAAGGACCTTTTTCTCGGTCATGGTAATGTGGTGAATGCTGGCCTGCTGGTAGAACAAGTAAACATCCCTGATGCTGCTGTCAAGGCCACGATCCCTCTGAGCTCATGTTTTCTTACAGGATTTTGTTTTTGCTGCAGACTTGACTGTACTATATACTGCAGAACTGCTTATAATTTGGACATCACTTTTTGAACAACATTGTTTTTTTTTTTTGAGCAGTCAAAGCGTATAATCGCTCTGCTCCAGCACCACAGTTTTTTTGTTTTGTTTACGTTCTCCATTTAGTTGTGAAAGATAAGGTGCATCCCATTTTGTGTGCTTATGCACTGTTCTGTGCCATTTTTTGTATGAATAGTAGTGCTGCCCCCTAATAGTTGACCAAACGTTAGTTGATGAGAAGAGGCTTGGTCGACCAAATTTAAGTTGGTCGCAAAGAGAGAAAAAAAAAACTCCACAGGAAGTGGTGAAGTCATGCAGTCCACGACGAACAGATCATTAACACGGCCCATATGACAATTATGTCAGACAGAAGAACCAAACTGTGGATAATTTTGAGAGGGTTAAGAATAACCCAAAAAAGTGATCTGCAAACTCTGCAGGCAAACGTTCACCTAACATTCATCAACCTCAAACTTGATTTCTCATTTGAAACATGCAAGTAGTAGCCTCCCAAACCCCGCCCCCCCTCCTGGGCCACAATATCATGAGATGAGAGTTAGAGGAGCTTGATGGGCAGCAATTGTTTCCCTGTCAATATCTTGTGATGTAACGATGAGGCATAACAACTAATATAGGGCATGCCAAATATTGATATGTTGTTATTGATTTGAGTTCCACTGGCAAAGTTACTGCCTCTTTCACTTCTCACTGTTTCTCCAGTGCGTTTTATGACCTTTCACCCAGTGCGTCGTATAAAGGCGAGTAAGATACCCTCCTTCCACAATATCATTGTAATTTTTCATATTAAGTAAAATTTTAAGAGTAATTGAAAAGCATGCTGCTGAATAAAACAAATTGTTATTGCCTGGGACATCCATCTTTAAGCCGGCATTAATATGAATTAGAAATAAAAGGCATTTTTCCTACACTGATTTTAGCCTCTGTTTGAAGGGGTGTGTCTGCAGTGAGACTTCAGTGTAAACGCCCACTGCTGTGATTGGCTGACATCTTTATGAAATGGCTAAGTATTAGACGTGGAACTCTCTCGAAAACGTTTAACACGTTTTTTACGATTACTGCTCTCAAGTTTAACTAATGGTAAAATATTTCAATGTGAATTAACCCTTTAAGACATTACCGACTGTGTTTACGAGAATGCTCACCAAGCATTTTGGCATGTGTGTAGTTGACCGTTTAGGCGTGAACTCGAAGCCCAACGTATCTCTTTTGCGGCTTAATGCACTTTTAATAACACTTTTTATTATCGAGCACATCCTGCAGTTTAGCAACAGTAGGCTGTATTTCCGTCTTGATCGTCTTTTATAGAGAAAAACTTCAGATCAAACTTTATAAAGCTATTATCGGCCAATAACTATTGGAGCCCGATCAATCGGAACGAATGCCCTAAATTATAGTTCTGCGTAACAACACTGTAAATCCCTCCTGAAATTGCGATGATTAACATACAATAACAATAGCAATGTCACTGTCTTGATTTACTGATGCATAAAACAGCAATAAACTAATTGAGAAATGGTTATCAGGTTGTATTGAATGTCTAGCTACAGTACTTGAAAAATTTGGCCTAATGTTTCCCCACACAAAAATAATTTATTATGTAGGCCTAAATTATGTTTCTAATTTGTTATGATCTCTAATTTCTGTTGGTGAATTCTAGTTCTGTTAATCAACAATAATAGTAGTGGTTAAAATATCAAGGGAAATAATCAACACCTTTGGTTTTGTCATGATTGTGCAGCCCTAATTTGCAGTTTCATTTTTCTCTGTCTTAAACTATACAGCGATTACTCCCAAAAATGGGCATATTACAATTTATACACATTTGTATTTAAAAAAAAATGGTGTATGTGCAATTGTGTTTTAATAAAATAAAAAAACCTCTCGTCTCAGATTTAAAACTAATATTGGCCAATCAAATGGTGCATCCCTGCAGAATTGCTGCGACGCCATTGCTTTGTCCTTCTTTTTTTCTTTTTTAAGGACATAGGGGATATAGGGGATATCTGATTCTAGATTTGGACAAAGTTAAAAACACCCATTTCCTCTATTCTTTTAGTTTTAGTGCTTCCTCTTCTGTACTCAAGAACTCATGTCTTTCTTCTCACTCCGTCTGTATCCTGGCAGAGGTTCCCTCGTCAGTCAGTACGGGCACAGTGCCAGTCACATGCTGCTGTGTAATATGAAAGCCAATTGTCTGACCTCTGGAAATGGTGTTTCATATTCTTCTCTTCTCCACAGGCTTTTAAAGAAATGTTGTACTCCGCCCAGGATCAAGCCCCATCAATTGAAGGTAAATGCATATGTGACCTAGGTATGTCTGTCTGCATGCAAACATCATCTCAGCTCATAAAATGAACAATAAAGTCTAATTTCTGTGACCACTAAATGGAATCAAAAAAATAAAGCTTTCAATCAGGCTTCCCATCTCACTTTGGTCAGTCAAACAAATACAGATAGGCCCTGTCCCAAATGGCACCCTAAGCAATTTTGTGCTTTGACTGTCTGGTAGACATTTGTTGCCTCATTGTGAGCTTGGCAGAAGTTCATATCAAGGGTGCATGGTGGCCACAATGGAGGAGCTCGTGAGCACACTTATGAAACCTATAATGACAAATGGTAGACCCTACGGGCTTTTAGACTTCATGTGCATTCAAGAATGCAAGTGTACATGAAGTGTAATATTGATTGGTTAGAATCTAGCTATTTTAACAGAGACTTTACACATCAGACTTTGTTTAGAGCTATATCTAGTTCATAAACCTTAACAAACATATCCAGAGCATATACACAATAACTTATGTGACTAACTAGTGCAATCCCATCTTCCTCCTCCATATCATTGCCAGAGTACAATGTAAACACCAGCATCTTGTAAATGAATCCCTTGTAAATGAATTTTGGTGGACAAGTTTGGGTTTTCTGTCAGGTTAGTTAAACCTCTTAGTTTGATCATATTAGACAGTGGTTCTCTATCTATCAATGTTGCCCTGAGTTGGTTTTTACCAAACACTCAATTAAATGAAAAATCTAAATCAGTAATCAGTCAAAATCAATGGTAGTCTTTAAAAAAGGAAGGGCAAAGTTTCACCTCAGGTTTAGCAAATTTAAGATGTCATGGTTCTATCAGATAACAGCAGAACAAAGAGCTGAGTTTGCATCATCGTGTCACTATCTCAGATTAGCACACGGTTATAAAGGAGAGCACTTTATAGGTTTAATACTTTACACATAACACTATCAGGTTTCATATTAACATTGGTTAGCCTAATAATACATTAGGGACCATGAACTAACAATGAAAATACTTTTAAAGTATTATTTAATCTAGGTTAATTTATACATATTTTTTAACTTTCAAGTTGTATAAGTTATTAATGCATTATGAACCAATGTCAATTAACCATGTAATATATTTATAAATTTCAGTTTGTAGTACTATATTAACAGTAATTAGATTTAAAAATAAACGTTAAGCTGGATTAATAAATGATATAATATTAGTAAAAATTGTCAAATATTAGGGCCGTCACTAACGATTATGTCGGTAATCGAGTAAGCGGTCGATTATTTTTTACTATTAATCGGTTAAAGGGTTAGTTCGCCCATTTAAGACATGAAGTTGTATGCAATCCTTACCAGCACTATAGTGCATACACACTGACCCACTCTGTTGTCACCTCCCTGGTCAGAGTTCTGGCCGCTGGAAGTTTTTCAATAAAGTACTCCCGGTTATTTTCCGGGGCCACAAAACTGTGCGTTTTTACTTGAAAAAATTATTTGCGTTTCAAAGCTTGATTAATTTATCACACAAAAAACACGCCGGTCAAAATTCATACCTCAGTTTTAATCGGCACTATTTTCTATCCATTTCTATCAATCCGCGCTGCTGTCAACAGTGCGCACGTTCCAATCAGCTGTTGATAGCGCGACTCGCTGACAACATGTCTGACTGCGAAACTTCTGATGATGAAACCAATTTTAGCACAATGTCAGACGGATCAGATGATGAAAGTAATTTTAGCACAACGACAATGTTATTGATTGCAACACAAAACCTCAATTGTGTGTGTGTTCAATCAAATAGTTTTCTCAGCAAATTGTACCAATATCCCTATAGCTGTTTTTATATTAGACATCTTTTCACGTGTTTTATAATGGAGTCTAACATCAGCTTGTTTATCGTACAGTTTAGACATGGGATCATAAAGTTAGTAAATAGAGCTTACCCGTGGTACTGGTACAGCAAAACTCTTTAATTTTCCTTTTCCTCCTTGGTTGGGGATGTAATCGTCTTCGCTGAAGTGAGCACTACACACACGAAAATCCTTTATTCTGGATATTTTAGCTCCCGCAGAGTAGCCGATGGCAACCAGCCAAATCAACAACACGCGCTTGCACCCCCTGCTGGTGAGGTCGACTAACAGCAGATGGAGATTATGCTCGGTAAAGCCTAGTTCACACTACAGGATTATAAGCCCGATTTAAGCCCGATTTGCAAATCGTTGAGCTCGCCGACAGGTCAGGGTGTTATCGCGTGCAAATCGCGGGGGATTAGCGGACGATGGACGCTCGCCAATCTGTTAGTATGAAAGAGGCAACAACGCATCAAAGACGCTCGCTGACGTCTCGCAGACGCGTCGCCGAGCCCAGAAAAATATCTAGCATGCTAGATATCCAGAGCTGTCGCCCGACTCAACCTCAGTGATGTCATGAGCTACAGCCAATCAGAGCAAGGCATGGGTTGCTCCAATCAGAGCAAGGCATGGGTCTTCGTCTTCTTCGCTGGGTATTAGCGCGCGTGATGTTTTGCGTCATTTCCGGTTCGTTTTATCGCGTGATTTTTTTGTGACAAAACGTGGTTTGTAGACAAGATTGAATTGTTGGGTGACAGAGTTGTTGTCAACTCGTGTAGTGCGTTACCTCCTGTTGCGGATCAATCACGTTGTGTCGTGTGGTGTGAACAGCTCAACAACTTGAACACTCCTGATTTCACAGAGAGCAAGTCATGTAGTGTGAACCGGACAGTTCAGCCCGACGTTTTAAAATCATGTAGTGTGAACTAGGCTTAAGCTGTCTCATAGTTATATTCGAAACAGGAAAACGATGGAATCTGAACTTTGATCCCGGCACATCCTTGTGGTCACAGCCTGGGAATTTACAAGTTCGCACCATTGTTAATTTAATACTTTTTACGTCGTTGTCAATCGATTGTGAAACACAATGGAACAGCTGATTGGAACGTGCGCACTGTTGACAGCAGCGCGGATTGATAGAAATAGATAGAAAATAGTGCCGATTAAAACTGAGGTATGAATTTTGACCGGCGTGTTTTTTGTGTGATAAATTAATCAAGCTTTGAAACGCAAATCATTTTTTCACGTAAAAACGCACAGTTTTGAGGCCCCGGAAAATTACCGGGAGGACTTTATTGAAAAACTTCCAGCGGCCAGAACTCTGACCAGGGAGATGACAACAGAGTGGGTCAGTGTGTATGCACTATAGTGCTGGTAAGGATTGCATACAACTTCATGTCTTAAATGGGCGAACTAACCCTTTAATTTATTGTGTGGTAATAAATAGACCTATGCAAGCAAATGGCTTAAAATACACACAGTATATAATAACAATGAGGCAATAATAATTTATTCAAATAAAGTATCAAAAGCAAGTAATCGTATGATTTCATACATGACGTAGCGTACATAATATAAAAAATCAACATATGTACATGTGATTGTTGTTTTTACACTTTACAGCATGATAATCCTAGTTTAATATTGGCCAAACAATTCAATTCAAACGTCCACTATCTTTAATATTTGTCCACTTCGTTCTTAATGATAGAAATGGTACATCTACTGTCACTTCTTAAACAAGAACATGTGGACATCAAAACATTCAAACTCAGAGAGGGTTCAAACTTTTTATTTTAAAATCACGATGAACAGTTTGTCTATTTAGAAAAAGATATTGATGTATTCTCCTATGTTGACATGGGTTTATAAATGATTTACCTTACAAATCTGATGAAATGCGTTCCTAGATGAACGTTATAAGCAACTCAAACTCACAGCAGATGCAGAGATGGAGTTTGATACGCGCTCCACGCATATGATAACAGCATAACTGTGAATGGAGCTGCTCTGTGATGTACGTTACCTACACGCATGTAAATAATTAAAATATTTATTTAAAACTGCAGCGCATATATTTATTTTATTTAATCACAGATTTTGTGAATTCACAATACTGTGCTATGATTTTTTTTAAATGGTTTTAATACATCTTGCAGCCTTAGAAAACCGGCTAATAATGCAGTTCATGGATTCTCGTCTGTGGAATCCGCCACCTCCGGCATTTTGCCGGTTAATCGACACGGGTAAATTGCAATCGTGGATTTTTTTTTTAAAACGTGTACTCCTATTTAATCAAGGAATTGTGACAGCCCTGTAAAATGTTCTGAAATATTATTGTTCGTTCTTACACCTTATGCCTTAACTTATGTTAACAAATGTAACCTTATTGTAAAGTGTTATCAGCATTTTTTCCCTGTGTATGAAATTTACAACCCGTACAATCTGAAGTTGCTTTGCTTGCAGTTCACTGGTGTTTGTACAAAAACAAGCACCTGTTAGTGTCTCTGCTGCTCCGAGCTTCTGTGTTTGACTTCACCCATATGTTTTCACACAAAAAAAGCTTTGTTTTTAGTTCAGTTTGTGCAGTTTCAGCAGGTACTGCATGTTCTTTTATGTCATTGTAATTTGCTGTCTTTTGCTTGCATGTCAGAAATGTAAGCCGTGAGCAAGTCTCATCTCAGTAATGCATATGCCCTACCGATAACCATACTTTTTTTAAAGTATGAAATATGAATGCATTGTGATACTAAGAAGATTATGTTCAGTGCCTTTACATTACATTTACTTTGGGGCATTTATGGAACTAAGGAGATCAAACCTTTGCCCAACTTCTATTAATTGTTTATTATGTTGTAAATGGCTTCTGGTGCAAAATCATTAATAGCCCCCATCTAGAGATCTCTATTCCCTCTTAAGGTTCCCAAGATCAAGCTAGCTACAGATTCTTACTAGTGACTGTTTTTCTTAATAGTTGGCGAATTTAACTTTACTTTAAAGGTGCTCTAAGCGATGTTGGGTGTCGTCACTTCTTGTTGACGTTCGAAGTATTGTCAAACAAAACGGAGGCTTTTCCAATAGTGGTCGGCCGATATTGTTTTTTTAATGGCCGATGTCGATATCTTAGAGAGCAGGGTGGCCGATATAAAGGCGATAT